AGTGTAGCTATTTAGGAACAATGAAAACCGTAGGAAATATGTTGGAGGTCAGCGACGGAAACAAAAACGAAAATAAATCCGTGGCTATTTAGGAACAAATGTTTCCGTATGGAAATATGTTGGTGATTAGCGACGGAAACAACGATGGCGAGACGCGTAGCTAATTTAGGAACAAGTTATTCAAACCGTTGTTAATCACAAACAAATCAGTAACAAATATTTTCGTCGCCAATTAGATACGAAAAGTGTCGTCGGTGAACAGCGACGGCTTACTTCCGTCTCTGTTCACCGACGACCGGTACTCTCCATCGCTAAATTTACCGGCGATGTGTTTACTAACGGATTTACCGATGGCCGAAATCTGTCTCTAAAGGTCGTTTCCAACGGATTTTCGAGCTTCAGAGACGGATAATTCCGTCTCTGAAGCCGCTTTTTTTGGTAGTGACCATATTTCACTCATTTAACCTCCAATTGCATCCAATTGATGCTATATGATCTTCAAGCATCGTTTTGTGCTCCGAATCAACTATTGGATGTTACACTTTGATCCCCAAACTTTGGATTTCTTTCGTTTTCGCACATTTTTCGTTCATTTCTTCCAAATCCTTCAAATTGCATTGAGCTCAACCTAATAAACATAATTAACACAAAATTAAGCTATAAATCATCCAAATCACTAACAAATACTCTAATTTCATGGTCTAGATAAGTGTACAAACTATAGTTATCACATGACATTCAGAGAGTCAATCCCACCATGTTGGTTTCAGTGCCTCCAACCAAAACCAACTATATTAATAATCTCCCAACCATTGAAGGACCAAACTCTTTCTCCTCGGGCAACACTCTTTCCATGTTCAATAACAATTTTGAATCCAATTTCAATGGGCAGTTTGGTGATTTTTCAAGTGTCCAAAACCCTATGTTTCCACCAATTGACACCACATTCCGGGCAACTGATCATGTGCTCAATCAAGCTTCTACTTCTGATTCTCCATCATGCATGTTCCCATCCATGCAAATCCAACCTTAGGGTTGATAAGATAATTTGCCTTTTCTCTCAAGATTGGAATACATGTATTAAAACTATAAATTGCTATAAAATTACAATGCTAAAATTAATTACAAAATCGACATGTGTATGAAAATTCATGTCAAGCATCATAAATTCATAAAGTAATTCAAATCCTGACCTTGGCCAAATATTTCATTTCTTTACTCGTAAGATACACATCCCCAAAATTCATTATTTTCACCTTTTCCACAAAGTGTGATATAAGGTTGTGTTTTCAATATAATACCAATCATTACTCTCTAGTTTGGTTCGATTTTACTAATTGCAATTCAACACATCAACAAATGTGGATTCTCCTTATTTTTAATTGCTTCAACCTCTAAGAATCATTTAGGCTAATAATCTTTTATCAAAAATCTAATTCTCTCAAATGAGTGTTCGGGGCTTAATCAAGGCATGTAGGATTTTTTTTAACTATTGTGCAAACTCCTCTCCATTAAACTTAAATGACCCTTGTAGTGAATTTTCAGCCGATGACTCCCAAGGCAAATGACCATAGGGCACCAGGTTTTTAGATACCATTGCTGACTTAATCACTCGAGTCATAAAGGCTACAAAGAGAAATTTCACAATACAATAACACCATATATTTATTATTTTTCTGTATTTTTTTCTCTTTTTTTTCTTTTTTTTAATGATCCGTGCAATCCCCCTTTATAAACACTCATTTTCAAAAATCGACTCCCAACTTAAGATTTCAACCTAATTTTTATCTTATTAGCCTTAAACAATCCACAGAAAATTTAACACACATGGAATCCACATATAACTCAATGTCTCCCAACAGCAGCTCACCCCCAAACTATCTTAGAATTGGTTTAAAGATGTATAATTTAGTGGTTATTTGGATTTAGCATCTAAGGTCCACTATTTTTTTTTTTTACCTATTCAAACTTTGAATCAAACTATTTTTTCATGATACAAAACATAAATCTTGTGCGCAAAAATATCAATGTTTACATGAATAAGCATAAATTAACCTTAACAAGTAACTTTTTCACAATTTATAATCTAATACATGATTCCAAATATATGCATGTAGGCAAAATTATCTAACCCACACAAACACAAAAAAAAAAAGCTGAAAATAGATTTTTATTTTCTTTTTTTGCACTCGAAAAAGCACACAAACTAATAAAAACTCAATATTTTTCCACCCCCAAACTTATAATAGACATTGACCTCAACATATAAAAATATAACACGCAATATATAAAAATTAAGGGCAAAGAAGGGAACTAAGTACTCTCCCTATATATATTTGAAGGTAGTGGATGGACTGGCACGAGAGTTCTGGCTCACTTGCTATGTGTTTTCCCTTATCCAGTGTGTTCAGGTGACATGTTCCTTCAAAATAGTAAAAAAAACAAAAATCATCATATGAAACCATTTGTAGTAAGCTCATACACCCTTAAAGGGAAATATGAGGATGAAGATACCCTATACTACTAAAACTAATAAAAATTACTAATCCTATATCTAAAAAGGAAAATAAACAAAAAAAAAGGGGTAACCTCCCAATAAGCGCTTATTTATAGTCATTAGCTTGACTTTATTGTTCTGTATCATGGAATTTTGAAGAAAGCTTTTTATGTCTTGCTTAGTGTGCTTATTTTGACTTTGATCCACTTTTCATTGATTCTCCAAATCTTAACCTTGCCTTGCTCAATGTGATATGACTTCCATATTCCATCAATTCGAAATCAACTATGTAGCCTTTTTCTTCCTCGCACTTAATCACAAATTCAATTGTTGGACAATCGATAATGTCGAAAGAATGTGTGTTAAATTCATCATCATTAATTGTCACTTCTTCGCTTGGTTCCTTTGTAATTAGTTTGTAATCCTCTTTACGCTCTTCTTTAATAATTGATATCTCCTCGAGTTGAATAATCGGTTCAAAATCTAAATTCGTTGGCAATGGTAATTCTTTCCTTCCAACCTTTTCAAGTGGATTATATCCCCACCTTTTAAATTCGTCCCAGAATTTCATGTGCGTATTTTGCTTTCATCCAATATAGTAAGTTCATTATAATATTTTGCAAGTGCCTCTTCGTTCAATAGGAGAGGTCCAATCCCTTTAAGAATGGTGTCATCCTTTGGATGTGTAGATACATATTTACCCTCGAGCATGTAGCTTTCATGAGATTTGTCAATTGCTTGTTTTCGACATCTTAAATATTGTTTAAACCACAGAAGCTTGGACATAAAGGGATTAGTGCATGTATACAAGCATTTCCCAATATAATGCATCCAATTACAAAGCT